TGACCTGATGTCCTTCACCAGCTGCGTGGATAAACAGTGCAGTGTGGGATACCACTGGCAAACGTGGGACACAAGCAACCCCACGGCATATCCAGAATAGCAGAAGCCAGACACTCCCACCCGTTGTAGGATTCCACTGACTCTTAAGATCAAGTACAGGCGAAATCAACCTAGGAGCTCAAAATCAGAGCGGTGGCGGCCTCTGGTGGACAGAGAAGGTAACTGCAGAAGAACAACTCATTTCTGAAATGACCAAAAACAAGACTCCGTACCCAATCTGGAGAGCGAGTACCTGTATTGTGAATACCTGCACGTTATGCTGGAATTAAAATATGCTTATATTACATTTAACACGTGATATGTTAATCTTATCTAAAAATGCAGCAAACGCACGGGGATACCCCCTGTGCTCCAACTTACTGTGGTGAAGCAGGTGCTCTCCCCACGCCACAGGTGAGAGTACACGCGGGCAGAACAGCGACGCCACGCAGGCAAGGCTTGCCAAGCGGAAGTGGGAGGGCAGTCACTGGCGCTGCCCCTCTACCCTGCAAGTCTGACGGGGAAGACAGCATGCAACTGGGTGCCAACTGCAGGATGCACCCAGGGACCAAGGGGCATCAGGGGCGAGGCCTAGTTCCACCTGGGAAGATGGCGAAAAGGGTGGGTGAGAGGACAAGGCAGCTGCCAAGGGACCTTCCTAAAATTCACATCTGAGGGTGAGGGCCCTCCCTGGTAGCGCAGCGGGTTGGAGCGCGCACTGCAAGCTGGCTGCAGCCTCCTCAGTGCAAGTTCAATCTCTGCCCTTGAGCTGACCCACATGGTGCAGCAGACTTCTCTCCTCTCTCCCCACTGCTCCCCTCAGCCGGTGTGCTTTATCAATCTGCCTGTTCTGCTCCCCACTCTTGTCTCTGCACCTCTGGCCTGTACCCCAATTCTATATTAAATTAAACTAAATTAAAAACTATATATAAATTTAACTAAATTAACTAAGCGAAATTAAACTAAATTAAAAACTATATACATAACTAAATTAACTAAATTTAAAAACTATATACATAACTAACTAAATTAAAAAACTACATACAAATTTAAAAAAATAAAATTCACACCTGAGCTGGCGCTCACCTGCAGAGCCTGTTCTCTGCCCCCTGCTTTCCACCCAGTTCCCTGGCCAGGGCACCTGAGACCCACCAGGAGCATGTTAACAGTAGAGACCCAGGGCCTCATGGAGTCTCAACACTGGACATGGCCAGTGTCTGCGTTCCTCACCAGAAAGATGAAAGATTCATCTTCTGGGTAGGGGGAACACACAGTAAAGGGCACACAGGTTAGCATGGAGCTCAGCCATTCTGGTTACCTGTTACCTGTCCCTGGGGAGGAAGGGGAGGCAGTAAGTGATGGGCATCTTGGGAGAGCTCTCACACAGTCAGGATGGCTTCCACTGTCCACAATTTCAGGTCCCTATGGGAGCACCCAATCCTGGGGGTAGCCGGGTGGGCACCACCTGTGCTCCTGGGTAAATTGTGTAAAGTGGAAAGGAGCCACTGACAAAGCAGCGACAACCAAACCCCACAGGCATTTCCAGAATAACAGAAGTCAGCCTCCCACGCATTGTGCGATTCCCCCGACTCCCTGTTCAGGTGGGAAGAGTGGGCTCTATGAAATGTGGGGGGTCAGTTCCCAGAAGCCCCCTTTGCACGCAGAAGCACCTAGCTGCTGATTCAACTGAGTCCTTCCAAACGCTGCCCTCGGGTGCTGCCTCTGCCCTCCTGGGGACAGCCCATCCCACAAGCAGTGAACAGAGAGGTGCATACAAACGCGCTCCCCTCTCCCTGCCACTCCATGACTCTTCATTTCACTACCGGTACTGGGGAGCACCTCTGGCGACATGATCCCCCACAGTGGATTCCTGGTGTCTTTTGTAATTGTCTAGAGAAATTAAATTTGCCCAGATGCCCAGGGCTCCTTCCTCTATTTCTGAGCCCTTTGGGGGCTGCTCCCCAGATTGCTGCTGAATAAATCGCCTGTTCATAAATCTTTCAGAGACTGTTTCCCCAGGAACCCCACCTGCTACAGAACATGCACCCCGCCTCCTCGATGGACAGCTCCATGGACTCCCACCAAAACCCCCCTGCACAGGGGCGGTAAACCAGGGCGCCTTTACCATGACCCAGCTGCTCTTCCTGCTGCCTACCGGAAAGTGTGCATTCTGGCTGAGGCATCTGCCCAGCTAAACACATTTCCCAGTTGCCTTTGCAGCCATGGTCATGTGACTAGGTTCTAGCCAACAGGGTCATGTGAGCTTCTCCTGGCCAATAGGGTGCAAACAGGGTCATGTGAGCTTCTCCTGGCCAATAGGGTGCAAACAGGGTCATGTGAGCTTCTCCTGGCCAATAGGGTGCAAACAGGGTCATGTGAGCTTCTCCTGGCCAATAGGGTGTAAGCAGAATCGTGGGCTGCTCCCTGGCTGTGCCTATGGAGGCAAGGATCTTGCGCCCTGCCCTGATTTGACAGTTCTTAGAGGGGAAAATGGGCTCCCTGGTGGAGCTGCAGTCTCCATTTGTTGGCCTGAAGAAGTATACATAACAGCTAGGGTCTGGATTGCTCTAGAGCTGGGTTACCTGACCTGGGCCACCCACTGGCTTTATGCAGACGGCAAGACAATCTAGTAAACTTAGGCTTGCTGGTATTTCTGGTGTTGGTTACTACTGTGAAATTTTTAATCCATTGATACAGAGGGTTCCATAATAGAAAGATTAGGTGTTTTTGGTTGTTTTTAAAGACTCACCCATTCATGCACACAAGAACTGGGATACAGGCTAGAGATGCCGGGAGTGAGATGGCCCCCCAGAGAGAGTGGGGAGATCTGCTGAGAGGGGCAGCAGGTGGGACAGGAGAGGTCTGCTGTCCCCTGTATGTCAACTCCCTGAGGGGAACCCAACTCCTGCTGCATTGGCCTCATAGCCTCATAGCGCTGCGTCTTAACCCCTTGTGCCACCAGGGAGGCCCTGGAAGATCAGGTTTTGAAAGTTAATAAAAGGGAGAATTCTAATACCTGTAACCACACAGATGCCACCTTTGGGGGCTGCCACCATTGTGCCAGTCTCAAATCTCAAACTTCCCCTTGCACAAGGTTCCAGCCCAGCCAAGACTTGCTAGAAAACTGGGCCCCATGAGAAGGAACACAACAGTATGACAAAGGGATTGGCTTGGCGGTCCTGGTGGGTGCAGAGACTGGGAGAGTAGGCTGCAATGATCTCAGATGCTGTACTGGGGCTAGTTTACCCTTCTGCTTCAAGTGGGAGGTAATTAAACCTTATCTCGATAATCAAGGCCATGGCTTTGCTACCACAACTGCAGATCTAGAAGCAAACATGGAGAAGGAAAGAGAAACCTCAGGTGGGGCTGTGTTTAACAGGCCATAAGACAAGATGAAGGCTACTGGGCTTGCCTTCTAGCACTGTGGGGACACAGGAGAGGTCATCACTGAGTGTTCAAATGAAAACTGACAAATCTGCACCAACTACTTTTTCTTCCTAAACTTTGAGAGATCACTCAATCCCGCAATTCAAAGGAACACTTGGAGCGAGCGCAGACAGGCCCCAAGTCTGGGCCAGCATTGCTCTGTCTCCATCGCCAGTGTCTGTTGTGTGTTAGTCCTGCGCCGCCAGCCTGTGCCTATATTCTCACTGGTCTGGATCCTTCAACGGGCGGCAGCTGCCCCACACTGTTTAAAGCTTTGTTTTATAATCCTGTATCCACACATTGTTCCCAAATGATGCCCACCATGCCAGGCTGACTAGAGGGGGCATGATGTGCTGATGTGAAGCCCACCCCCACGGTGCCACACCTGGTGCCGGGCCCGAGTCATATGCTCCAGTGGTGATTGCTCAGCTAGTGGCTCTATGTGCCCATTCTTGCAAGACTCTTGTCAGAAAACACCCAGATCTGTGAGACAGACAAAGGAGAACAGGCTAGGAGCAAGAGAGAATTAGAGAATTAGGTCCACATGCAGTTTCCCAACTTTCCCCCGGCCACACACTCCAGTAGGTCCCAGGGGCCACAGGGGAATCTCCTCCAAGGCAATGGGTAGTTTCCCCCCACTTTCCTTTGGGTAAAGTAAGTCACTTAGGTTAGCTAAGTGAACTAAGAGGAGCCACTTAATCCTCAAAATAAAACAGAAATTGGCTCTAAAAGAGCATTTTTGAGTTCATCTAGACTGAGATGTAAAATACTACTTCTAAAAAGCAACTTCTCCCACTTTGAAATCAACTTCAAACTCAGCCCATCTTACAGGCACTGGCAACGTGAAGCAAATGGCCACCTGTTCTCACAGCTCCACACACCTCACCCTTGGGTTTCCTGTGCCAGGAGGGCATGCAGACACCTTTACACTTCACTACTTACCTTGACTAGACAGGTTCAGGCAACCGGGCCAGCGAGGAGTCATGAGGCTGGAAAGATCTTCCACTGGGTCGGGCAGCACACGGTCCCTACGTGACGCTGGGGAGCAGCTAACGCAACAGACCAGAGACAGGACCTGCCTGGCGTTAGCTACCAGGACTGAGCCCTCTGCACCAACTCAAGCCCCCAGGGTCCTAGGTCCTGCGGTGTGGAGGAGGCGGACCTGTGGCATGGAGGAGGCAAACCTGTGCCTACCAGTGCTAAAATGCTTCAGCCCACAGCAGGCATCATGGTCAGTTTGCCTTGGCGCGGTCCTTAAATTACCCTGAGTTAACAGAGTTTAGGGAGCTTGAAAGTTCAAACATGAATCATCAGCTTTCCCCCCCTCTTTTCATTTTGACTCTGGCTTTGCTTTCCTTGGGACAGTGAAGATCAAGTTCTAGTTTGAATGGGGTGGGAACCAGGGAAGGGTTAAGGGGGTGCAGGCTTCCCAAAAAGATAGGTCCTTCTTAAAAACAAACCCTTTAGGCTATTTCCCTACTCGCCCTTTTACTTACCATAAATGCACATTACATAAAATGTGTCATTTTGACCTTTTCGAAGTGTCCAGCTCAGTGGCATCCAAGCATGTACCTTGTTGAGCAACGTCACCACTGTCTGCAAACATTTCCACCATCCCACACCGAAGCCTGTCGCCATTCGACACAGCTCCCATTCTCCTGCCGATGCTTGCACCTCTGCTCTGTCTGCTTCTGGCCACTGTGGAGGCCTCCTGTAGGCAGGACATCCCTGTGTCCCCCTGGAATGGTTTGTCGTCCCGTGCAGTGGGAGTGAGAGCGTGTCCCCTCTCAGGCTGTGCAGAGGCCACACGAGGCTTTTCTGTGCATCTGATGATGGGGACCTGGGTGGTGTCCACCTTCTGACTATGGTGCTTTGTGCTGCTGTGAACGTGGGTTCATAGAGCTGCAACCCCCTAACTGTTTGGGGTAGACACCCAGAGGCACATAGCAATTCTGCATGTAATTTTTTGAGGAACCATCGTACTGTTTCCAGAGCAGCTGCAGGGTTTCCTGTTCCCACGAACAGGGTGTACGCGTCACAGCTCCTGCACATTCTGGCCAACACTTGCTGTTGCTGTTTTTGTTTGTTTTTAGCTACTGCTGACTGAGTGGGTGTGAACTAGTATCTCATTAGAGTTTTGATCTGTATTTCCCAAATGATTAGTGATATTAAGCATCTTTTCCTGTGCTTTTGGGTCATCTGTGTGTCTTCTGTGGAGAAATGTCTACTCAAGTGTATTTCCCACTCCTGAATATGGTTGTTTGTGTTTCGTTGTTTAGTCGTAGGAGTTCTTTATAGATCTTGGATGTGAATCACTCATCAATATATGACTTGCAAATAATTTCTCCTATCATTTGGGTAACTGAGGTAGTTTCTCTTGACAAGAAGGTAATTGACATTCACCCCATTAGTCTAGACTTCTGGACATTGGGAATCAAGTGGAGTCTGCTTGTCCCTAACAACCTACCCAAGGCCCAAAGGCAGGCTGGGACAGATTCCACCCAAGCCATGAACTGTGTCCCCTGGGTCAGTCACGTTCCCTCCCAAGTGTGAATTTAAAGCCTAGCTTGTCCAGAGAATCATTCCATCTCTTTCTGGAATCAAACCCAAGCATGATTCTTTCCTGGGACTGCATGGAACCTTTCCCTTAAAGCATCTAAGCCCTCATCAGTTCATAGCAGACCAAATTCAGATTCCTGATGGAATCTCACTTATCGAAAGAATCCTGTGAAAATAGTCTCAGATTTTTCTCTTTTTCCAGACTTTTCTTACACAGATGTCTTCTCAATTGCACTGTTATCTTTATTTCTCAGGTCTAGTAGCGTGATACATAACAGGTCCTTAATAAATGTCCGCACTCATAGCGCACATTACGGGCTATCGAGGGGTTTCAATGATGACCTGTTACCTGTGTGCTTACTTCTGCTCTGAGAGCTCCCTGAGGGGTTAACACGTCCATCTGCTAATTCAGGAAACAACTTTCAGAGAGGCACAGCGAACAGCAGATCACACAGCGTGGTGGCAGTTCCAGGATTCACACCCAGCCCGCCCTGAATGCTGCATCAGGCTAGCTCTAGGGAGCAGAATGGAGCAGAATGTTCCATTTGGGATGGAACTGTCAGATCAAATAAAATATTTTCAGTTAAATCTGAATCTCAGATAGGCACAACAAAAAGTTTAGTGGACACACATATACTCAGAAATGATTTGTTGTTTACAGAAATTCAAATGTGAATGAGCATCCTGCATTTCATATGCTAAGCCTCGCAGCCCTAATTTGGAGGAGATTTGTGTGGTCACTGAGGCCCAGAGAGGGACAGATGTTTACCCAAATCACACGGGAAGTCACTTAGTGCCTGCTCCCCAGTCCTGCCCCGGGCAGGGTGGCTGTGAATGCTCTGAGGTCCCTGGAGCAGGGGGCGGTGGGGAGAAGAGCCAGGTCTGTCGCAGGCTGCCTGCAGGCCCCACCCTTCTGCACTATTCTACTGGGCAAAATCATGAAGCAAACCCCAGTGCGGAGACCAGGAGGGCGAGGTCACACCAATTTAGAGAAGATGGTGTTGATTGAGATTTCTGAACAGGGAGCACAGGCTGCTCAGGAAGCAGCTAATTAAGCAGGAGACTCCAATTAAGAAGCAATTTGAGTGTTTGCAGCAAACCCCAGCAGCAGCCCAGCAGACGGAGAAGCACAGACACAGGTTCTCGCCTCCTGCATTAG